CCAGATCGCAGAACAGCGACGTCGTGCTGCTGCCGCCCGCTCGCGAGCTGCCTACGCGGAACAACGGCCCGACCTTGGTGAGCAATGGCGACGTCGTGCTCGCCGTATTGGACAGCGCAGTGAGATCTGGAAGCCGTTCTCGAAGCGCTTGATTCTCGCAGGCGTTCGCATCGCCGACATCAGAGGCCCGACAGTCGCCAACGACCCCATGATCATACACAACGCTATTCAATCTCACTGGTCGAAGGTGTTTGCGGCCAAGCCAGTAGACGCCCCAGCGACGCAGCAGTGCCTGGACATGGTCTTCCCACCAGCACCTCCACGCCATCTACCTCTACCTGGGATTGATGAGCTCCAAGCCGCAGCTAAACTCGCCAGTGACTCAGCTCCTGGACCTGGCGGACTGCCCTACCGCGCGCGGGTGCGACCAGACGGCAGCATCGCAATCCTCCACGACCTCCCCCACTCCATTGCTCACGGCGGCCCGATCCCCTACGACCTGAACTACGCGATCATGGCCATGCTTCCCAAGGGCGACGAGCCCACGGGCAACTACGAGTGCCCCCGCAGCCCTGACTGTCTCCGCCCCCTTGCCATGAAGAGCAGTGACATCAAGATCATCGCCCCCGCAGCGAACCGCATCCTCAACTCCGTTGCGTCGGACACCGAAGAAGAGCAACGCGCATTTGTCAACGACCGTCAATTTCTCTCCAACATCGTCAAGGTTGACACCATCGCCCGCCTCACCAGCATCAATAGCGAAGCCCCCAACTTGATGCCCTGCTTCGCCAGCATGGACATTGCTGCTGCGTTTCCGAGCCTCACGCACGCGTGGTTGTGGGCTACACTAAGGCGATGGGGCATCCACGGCGTCTTTCTCAATCTCTTGCAAAGTTGCTACAACATGCCACTTGCCTTTCTCGAGCTAGGTGGGATTCGCCGACCGCTGCTTCTCGCTGAATCTGGGGTTGCTCAAGGATGCCCCTTGGGCGGCACGCTCTGGGCGCGCGTCTTCGACCCCATCATCAAAGGTCTCAAGATGGAACTCACCGCTCTGGGCAGAGGCCTGCTCAGCGCCTGCGCCGACGACCTGGGCATCGTTATTGCTGCACTTCGGGATCTTGGCGCTCTTCTCCCACACCTTCAAGCTGCTCACCACTACGCTGGCCCCCGCCTCCAACCGAAGAAATGCGCCCTCGTGCCCACCTGGTCCCTGCCGACGCCCGAGATCACCGCGAACATGCGTGCTATCCTGACCCAGCTCTACGAGCCGTGGCAAGCTTTCTCCATCAACAGCTCTGCGCGATACCTCGGCGTGCACATCGGCCCTGGCGCCTCTCTTGACCGTCAATGGCAAGGCCCTGCCAATAAGTGGTGGGAGCGCATTCAGATCCTGAGCGGCTCCAACGCCCCCATCCAGCAGAGCATCAAGATGTGCAACCCCGCCGCCATCACTTGTCTCTCGTACGTGGGCCAGCTCCACCCGCCATCCCCAGCATTCCTGTCCAAGGATATTCATGGCCTCCACATGCTGAGCCGTGCTGCCCCCTCGAGCTTCACGGAGATGGACATCCTGTCGTTCACGCTGTAGACGTCCGCCACGATCCCGCAGGCCATTGAAACGCTTCCTGCTGCGACTATGTGGCGCGCCTCCACTGCGACCACTCCTGGCTGGCAGCCACTGCTTCACGAACTCCGCGCTCACGCTGGAGACCTCCTCCCACTACGAGATGTAGTGGCTGGCAAATGGTCTGCTGCATGCTGGAATGACACCGCATCCATCGCGCAGCGATTCGACGCCGTCTTTCACAACAAGCTGACCGCGACAGGCAAAGGCTCCATCTTCAAGACTCTCACGCGATCCACAGGATCTACGGTGAACGCCGCCCGTGTACTTCAACGAGCTCATGCGCAGGCTGCTGCAGCTGGACGGCATGCTATCCAGGCCTCCCGCCGTGACAAGGCGGAGGAAATCTGCACGCACAGTCGTGACAGGACTGGTATTTACCAGGCACCAAGCCGTGACAGGGCTGGTGACCTTCACACACCCAGTCGTGACAGGACTGGCGGAGTTCATCAGATACAAGCTGGGCTCAACCCTTCGAGCGCTACTACATCAAGCGTCGCATCACGAACCTCCCCACAACAAGCCTACCTACGGGAATTGTAACGCGAGCTGTACCGCGACTCCTTCCACAAGACCATTCATCATCGTCTCCGTGCTTGGTTCCCACTACTTCCTGTCGACAGTGGCTCTCCGATGGCGCCTTCTACTTCCGAGCAACCGACTGGGAATGGCGACCACGACTCCATGAAGTGCTTGAACGAACGCGCAGAAGCATGGGCAGCAAGATGGATCCCCAGCGTGTTCTTCGGCCGCGACATGGACAACTTCAACGACTGGATGGACTGGTGCGTCTCCTACGTCACAGCTGTACTACATCGCACCCAGTTCAATGCGCACTTCAGCCTCGATGACCAGTGCGGGTCTGCCAGTGCTCGCCGTGACATGGCGAAGGAGATATGTTGCGGCGCGTGGCATCGAGCCGACCGCCCTCGCAACCACCGCTTGCAGATCTACACCGCCGAGCACGTGCCAACCACCACCCATCGAGAATTTGCTGACGAAGCTGCTGAACACCGTGCCCGTCGTCGCTGGATCGAACGCGAACGCGCCGCCAACCCGAACCTCCCGCAGGAAGACGGCGACACTCAGTCTACAACTACGACCACCTCCACGCCTCCCATCCACTCCACCAGTGACATCATGATGGGCTCCGATACATCCGAGCGTGACGGACTTCTTGGCCGAGCTGTTCTCCCCGCCAGTAGTGCGCACGTCTGGCGCGATCTACGGTCCCACCTGGCGAACTCCACGGCCTCGCTCTTCTGGTCCGCGGTCAAGACCTTGTCAGGCGCATGGACGACATCATACCGCATGCACGTCAACCCCCACAAGAAGAACTGCTGGTTCGGCTGCGACAAGGACTTGCAGGCCAAGAACACGGACGACATCAGCCACTACAGATCGCGCCCACGGATGCGGGCGCTCTTGGCTCAACCACGTGGACAACCTGCTGGTGATGACCTCACGCGCCTGGGCCCCCACCAGAACGGCATCATCGACGACCGCCCGAGGCGCGCCATCACTCGCATGGCCGTGGCCTACCGCAGCTACAACATCCTGCGGGCGCGCCCCGAGCTCGGCATGCCCGCCAACCACAGCGAGTACAACTACCACAAGGAGGTTGTTGCCGCCGCCCGCCGTGCCCTGAGGCTCCCCCGATGCCTCGTGGGCGGCGCGGGGCCGCAGCGACTCTAATCAACAGACGTGCGCTCTCCCCAGCGTGTCGTTTGCTCCTCCTCCTCCTCCTCCTCCTCCTCCTCCTCCTCCTCCTCCTCCTCCTCCCCCTCCTTGCCCCAGGGTGGGGGCCTGGCACCTGTTCTCACGGTGTCAGCGTCGAACGCTCCTCGGGCCGCACCGTCAGAGTCGATTGCATGCGGCGACTGGGGGCAGCTGAACCGGCTCACGCCTTCTGGAACCAGCCACGTGGCAGATTGCCCGTGGCAGCGGTGCCAGCTGCGCTCGGTGACTTGGACATGGGTTCCAGGCGTGGGGATGTGCATATTTCGTTGAGAGACGGGGCCGCGTGGCCCGTATGTCCCATGGTGGCCTTGTGCCCGCTCGCCCTGGGGAACAGACCCACTTGCGCATGCCAGCTGATTTGAAAGGGGCCGAAAGTCAGGATAGTCTGGAAGTACCTCGCAGTGACGCGGTGAACCGGCCGTTTCCCTACGCACGACGCCCGTTCGAGTCGCTGGGCGACGAGGTAGCTGCCTATCCCCGGTTCGACGGTGCGCGCGCCTTCGGGCCCGCCTCCTCCCGTAGGGGGGAGGCCAGGGGTGCTGGTTGCCTGCCATTGCGGCCTGCCTGCGCGCGGTGTGCTCCGCGCACTTCCTGGATCCATGACTCCATGACTCCTCCTCCTCCTTCTCCTCATCCTTCTCCTCTTCCTCTTCCTCCTCATCGCCCCCCTTTTCCTCCTCATCCTCCTCTTCCCCCTCCTCATCATCACCATCACCATCACCATCCCCTCCCCCTCTTCCCCATCGGCTCATCTCACGCATCCTTCCCATTATTTCCTCCGCATTCGCATCCGCGGCCTCTTCCTGCCCTTCATCATCACTCTCGTCCTCCCCCCTCCCCGTTTTGCCGTTCGACCAAGCATGGGCTGTGGACACCCCCATCCTCCTTCCCCTTTTCTTGATTTCCTCCTCCTCCTTCTCCTCCTCCTCCTGCTCTTCTTCCTCCTCCTCCTCCTCCTCCTCCTCCTCCTCCTCCTCCTCCCCCCCTCTTGTGGCGCGGATTCGCAGTGGTTCCGTAGCCATTTCGGCTCAAGTCGGGCTCAAACTGCCGCGCGCCTCGCCCATGGCCAGCCCAGGAGCTGCTGGTTGACAAGCATGGCGCGGGAGGACGGGAACGTTGCCCGTCGCAGGCGGTCGACCGGCGAGCGCAAAACTGCTTGCGATTGGGCCCGACGCTATGCGGATCGGGCCGTGTTCAAATTCTCCGAAAAGGTGGCCCGTGTTAGGTTGGACGTGGACGCCGCCGTCGAGGCGTTGGGCGGGTTTGCTGGGAGGCGCGGAGGTCGCGGGGCGTGCGTTCACGGCGGTGCTCGAGGGGAACTCTCCCTGGTTGGCTTCCCATGCAATAGAGATGCGGCTCTATACACTCGGACGCCGCTGGCCTCGAGGTGGCGACGGCTGGCGAGGCTGTATTGCGATGGGTTCAGAGGGGCCCGCGGCTGGCAGCACGGCTGGAGGCGGAGCCGCGCTCGGATGTGGAGGGCACTTTTCTCTCTCTCTCTCTCTCTCTCTTTCTCTCTCTCTCTCTCTCTTTCTTCCTCTCTTTCTGCCGACGCCGTCCCGGTCGCGCCCGGCTCCCGCGTCGCGTTTGGCGGTGGGCGGCTTTGCCGAACCAGCCTGTCGAGTGCATCGGGATGCAGACGTTCGTGCTGGACTCCGAGTTTTCGGCCGAAGTGACGGCGGCCCCTGGCGCCGCGCAGCCCGCAGCGAATCTGCCCGACCACGAGGAGAAGGACATCGACCAGAAGGTGTCGCAGCGTGTGATGATGGAGCAGTCGCAGATGTCGGAACCCTTCGACGGCGGCATGGAAGTTTCCGAGGCGGATAAAGAAGAGCGTGGCCAAGCTGATGTGGGCGAAGGTTTGTCGCTGCAGTACCCTGCAGTTGAGGTGTGGATGCCTAGCGGCCTGCCGTTGGCCTGGTGGAGGGCGCCTCTTCGGCCCCGTGTTCGTCAACGACGACCAGCTCGATGCCGTCGGCCCGTCGCGGGACTCGGGTGCTGGGCTCCACTTCGGTTCCGAGGGCGATGACTACGACCCGCCCGACGCCTACGACTTAGTAGGCTTTTGGTTCCGAGGCCATGTTCAGCGCGTTGCAATTTCGCGGAGGGCCTACATTCCCCTTCTACCTGTGGTACCGTAGTCTGCGACTGGACTCCTTGGGAGGATTGTGCATGTCGGTGTATCGCTGTATCGTCTTAGTTCTGGCGCCCTGTGCGATGCGCATGTGGATCGTTCGTGCTTCTGTCCACCATCAGTGTTCAAGACGCCTGCAGGTCCCCCACAGCTGGCGTTAGCTCATTGAAGGTGAAGATGTCGAGGTCCGAAAAAGGATTCGCAATGGCTTCGTTCCGGGCCGCCGGGGCCCAGCAGCCTCTGCAGTTGAGACTGCCTCCAGCAAGACTCGTCGCGAGCACGCCAGGCGCCGAAGGACTCCTGGAGTTGGGCGCGACGGTCAGTTGCCCAGGCCAAGTGGACTGGCGGCCAGGCTACTTCTGGGCGTTCCTTTCAACTTTCATCATCGCCATCATCATCATTATCCCCCCATGCTCCTTTATCCTCATCCTTCTCCTCCCCCCCCTCGCGAGCCGGTTTCCTCGCTTCGTCGAATCCATATTTGCATATGGGGGCGCGCCCCCGTTGACGCGACTTCCACGCCGATTGCTCGAGTCGGGATGGGCCTTCAGGCAAATCCTAGAAAAGGGGCGCCGGCGCCAGCTTGTCCCGCGGAGGCCAAGACTTTTAGCGAGGCAGTGAAGCACGGCGGCCCCCTGGCGCCTGAGCCCCCCATGCTTCTCCCTCTTTTTCCTCCCTCCAGTTGCTGCCCCGGCTCGAGATTCTTGGCGCGGATGCCAGATGTCCGCGAACCCCGCGGGGGGCAGCTGCCGCGCGCGTCGGCCCGCGCCCCCGCGGCAGGCGGGCTCGGCCGCGCACCTCCTGCCGCTGCGCGGCCGCTGCCCAGCCCGCGCGGACGGGCCCCCCCCGCGCCTCGCGAGGCGGGGCCGTCTTGGCACGGGCGAGCTCGGGCGCAACGCGCAGCCGCTCGCGCTCTCGTTCGAGCGGCTGCAGCGCGAGACGCGCTGCGCGGGCATCGCAGCGAACGCCGCCGATGCCGCCCGCCCGGCTGCACCTGCCGAGGCCCGGCGCGAGCGCGACGACTGGGGGGGGCAAAGCGCGCCCGAGCCGAGAGGGCCAGGACCGCAGCGGAGGCGCGCTAGGCGAAGCAGGCCGCGGAGCGCGCAGAGCTGCTCGCCAAGGGGCTGGCCGTGCCGGGGCAGCCGCCCTCCCTGGCCGCCTTCGCGCCGCGCGCGGACGGCGTTCATGGGCCAGCCACGCCCGCGCCTGCGGCCGAGGCCGCGGCCCCGCCTGCCGCGCCCCCACGCGTTGTTCTTGGCGAAGACAAGCTGGGGCCCACCAGCCGCGCAGAGCCCGGGGGCGACGGGCGCGGCAGTCGCGATCGCAGTCCGCGCCGCTCGGGCGCCGTGGACGAGGCCGCGCCCAACTCAGGGCCACAGGCTGGGTCGACGCAGGGGTCAGCAGGCCGTCGGAGGTGAGTGCCGCCGATAGATGTCAGCTGCATGCAGCTCTGAGCGGACTGCCTCCGAATGGGCCACCTGCCCCGCCAAGTTTCGTTTCGCCTCGCAGCCCTGTGCCAGACTGCAGCTGCCTGCTTGCGATGCTTCCTGCCCCCTGGTCCGCCTGCCATCTTGCACCTCTCTTTGTATCTCATGGGCGAGAGCAACTCGTTGTGCCGTGTCCCCTTTCCCACCGGCTACACTCGAGTATTTCGCAGTTCTCGACGTGTCAGTCTCAGTTGTGCTACGACAGCCCTGCGTTGGATGAAGATATCGTGCGCTTTGCGTCTTGCGCCGACGGTTCAGGGGGATCTGATAGCGCAGAGCTCGGCGGTCCTCCAGCATGGGCTTTGCGCTGTGTGCTGTGAACCAGGACGATTGATATCGGTTCGAAGGCTATCTAGCAGGCCCTGACCCCGCCATACGTGAGCAGTATGTGTCCGCGTCTGGTCCTGCAGAGTTTCTGGCGGCTCTCTGGCTTGTGCGCTGGTTTCTCCGGGCTCCAGGGAAATTCAATAGTTTGCCGATCGCAGTCGCCACCGACAGCATGATGGTGGTTGAGGCTGCCATGGGTGGGGTTCAATATACATCGCGCGGTCACTTGCCTCTGCTCTTGGGCTCTGTCCTAAAGGTCCTTCGGAATCGCCAGAGGATCGATTGGCACCGCGTGTCAAGTCATAGGGCAGACCCTCTGAACGAATTGGCCGACGCTCTTGCGCGCCTCGCATCCATGGGCCAGGTCACCCCAGACTTGCTGGATACTGTCCCCTGGGCGCTTCTTCTGGATCGGCTGTCTGCAGTGCCATGCCTTTGACTTGTCGATAGAAACAACCGCGGTGCGAGGGAGTTCCCCAAGGCGACGCCGACCTCCCTGCCCGATATCAGGCCACCGACGCTGGCCCCCTTGGGTTTTCTCGTCGCCGATAGCTGGACCTTCCTCGGAATCCGAAAGGGTGCCGCGGCGGTCTCTTGCAAGCCAACAGGAAGCGTGTGCGTCGCATTGTCAGGTCAGGCTTGCAGTTGCAAGCGCGTTGACTCTCCGACCCGGGAGCCGACCCGCGCGGGGCGGGGGGGCCGCATGCGATGTGCATATCGAGATGCAGGGGGGATTGACGTGCCAGGCCGCATGCTAGCACTTGCACACCAGTTCGCAGCTCATCAGTATCTTATCGTCGGCACACATGAGACGCGGTTGAGGCGCGGCACATGGCGCGCAGCTGCATTGTATCATGCGCACACGTCTGCGGCCGAATCTATGGGGGCTTCCTGGGTTGTGCTGCGGATAATCACGAGCATGGAGTACCTGCCAGGGCGCGCGCTGGAGCGCATGCACGCGCGTGTTATTTCGCACGGTTCCCGACATGCGCTTGCGGTCATACGTGCTCATGGGCTATGCGTGGACGTTATTGTCGCGCGCGCGCCCCATGCGCGCGCGGGCCTGCATGCCGCTGGCGAGTGGCGGGACCGAATTCGTAAGATGGCGCTGACTCGACCGAGCCTTGCCCCGCTACACTGTCCGTTGGATGCGATCGCGACGGCGGGCTCTGAGGCATCGCGGCGCGCGGGCCCCATCGGGGCTGAGCAGGGACACGTCGCGGGCAAGATGTTTCATTATTTTTGCGGGCCACAGAGCAGGCCGCTGCGTCGACCGTCTCTGAACTACACCATGGGGTACATGGAACCTGTTTGCCACCGCGGTCTAGTCCCCAGGATTCCCAGTATAGCATTGATTCTGAGACTGTGAAACGACATGCTTCGTGCGGTAGGGCAGCATGGGGGTTGATCCCGCTGTCGATTTGTCCACGCGCGCGGACGATCACTTCGTCGCAATGGCAGGCGCCATCATCTCGGGTGCCGCGGGGCCGAGAGGTTTGTGTGACAGTTGGGCCGAAATCAAGGATGACCCGGACAAGGTTGACGACCTTGTGCGCGCGGCTACGCATGCGGAGGCCATGCAGGCCATGCCGCAGCCAAACTTTGATTGTCACCCTGACGATCACGCCCAGTGTCTCTATGATGAGTTGAGAACGGCAGCGTTCACGCATCTCCCACCAAATAGGTCGCCTCAGTGTCGAGAGCCCCGACAGTCTTGGATACCCGAGGGCTCGTTGACACTCGTGGACCAGAGCCGACGGGAAGAAGGGACTTGCGTTTTTTGTTTGTTTTGCGTTGTTTTTTTGCGACTGACGTTCGCCGCTTGGGCCTCGGATGGGAAGGAGGAGTGGGCGTGGTTTTGCCGCAGACAGCGTGCATGAATGTGGTCAGTGCGAGAGTGTCCCTCCCGTGCTCTTGTGGTCGATGCGTGCGATGCCGTTGCGTGCTCTGAATGCGCCGCCATGGAAGCCGCTACCTACTTCTCCCAGCTCCTATGTGACAGTCAAGGTTGTAGTTACGCTCCTCCATTCACAACGGACCACATCCGGGGTGGGGTCGCTGGACTCTGGCCCGCATGCCCTACGCCCTAGGCCCTACGGTTCTCAGGACATCGGACATCTGGAGCCTCCCGACTGCCCCTTGGTAGGAATCCGCAGGAGACCATTGCAGATTCAGGGCGTGGTATCACGGTTCTGGAAGTGGCAGGTTTTCTTTGGGTATTTCTACGCGTATTTGTTCTCGGGCATTTGCGTTTGTGCTCCGGAAGTCTACCAGCTTGGACTTTGTTGCCCATTGTGAGAAAGTGGCCGGGGCATCAGCGACGCATGGAACATGCGTCAGGCCGCTGAGGCATTAGCCGATTTGCGCCGCTTGGCCGTTCCAAGAAAAAGTGCACGAACGTAGGCTTGCTTATTTTACATGATCTAAATGGGGCCCCCGTGGTATCCGCCAAGCAAGCCGCGTGCCGTTTGCGGCACCTTTCTGGGTCGTTGGTGATCGCGGCCACGTTTGAGCTACGCGATGTAAACCGCTTCCAAGGGCATTTTGGTCGAGTTGCCAGCTCTCGGATGTCCTCCGAGCCTGCGTCGTCGACCTCATCGGCCACTCTGTTTGAATTCCAGCAACCATGTAGGCGGGCCAAGAGGGCAGCAGCGGGATGTGGTGGCTTAGCTGGTGGTTTGGCACATGCGTTTGCCGCAGACTTGGCTGCTCTATTTGACCCCCTGCAGTCGAAGTGTTCAGTAGCCTTCACTGAACCACTGCAGTGGGCACGGAGGTTCTATCGGGAACTTCTGAAGTCCGCGACTGCGGATCCCAGGCAATGTGTTAATTCCAGATCGATCCTGGTTTCCTCCCAGCTGGAAAAAGCGTCCAGGAGGTTTGCCGGGAAACACTTCCCGAGGCCGCCGGATAGTCGCAGTTCGGAGGCATCCCTTGACGCGGCGCCACACATGCTTCCCTCGTCCTCCGTCTGTCTATGTCGGTGGCAGAAACTAGGCAGCAGTCATGTGGTGTTTGATTCGCAGATATGGTGCAGGCTTTTTATCGCACGCTCAAAGAGTTGCTCGTATGCTCGCCGTT